GAAGAGCAGAAACACATTTGAAAGATCAAACAAAAGAAATAATTATGTGAAACTAAGTGGCAAAACCCACAGCATAAAAATCTAATACACACATATTAGGTACCTTTCTGTTCATGCCAGGTGTTCAACATCATTCTTGCAAAATATGTCAAATGAAAACTTGACAAATCACGCACACAAAAATCTTCTTTCACAATGTACAATAAAGCTAATGATAGCATTGATCTCACTTTTTTCACCTAGTAAACAAAACTGTTCATTGAGACAGGATTTCTCAAAAGTGATGAAAACAGCATTCAAACACTACAGGGTGAAAGCTTCTACCCATCTGCTAATTAACCGCAGACCTGCTTTAAGAGGTTCCATGTTACAAAATTTCACTTTAAGCTTTATATGTTATCTAGATATGTCACATACATTATAGCCAAGTTTTAAAAATATGAATATGTATTTTCAAGTACAGAAAGCTGGTTTTACTTTGTAGCATTTTGTACTTTTAAATTTCCCTGAGCATTCCAGTTTTGTGCTTGACCAAGCTGGCCTAGTTATTAGAGGCATAGCGCATCCACTGTGCTAACGAAGCACTTCTAAAAGGATACACCAGTGTTCAATGCAACCAACAAATACTAAGTTATTTAATTAAGAGTCAATGTACAACTTCTGGCACTAAAACTGAAAATACAGAAGCATGTTATTTACAGTATCTTAATAAAAATTTCCCTATACTTAGGCTAAAAACGATCAACAGATGATCACCTCTTTTTTCTATACCACCATAATGTGTTTCACACTATTTTCTAAGAAGTCTTCCTTTACTTACATAAAACTTTCAGAGGGTTTAACACAAGGAATATTTTAAGAAACAGTAACAAGAAAAAAAAAGAAATATTACCTACTTTCAATTTAAACCCACAAACTTTCCCCATTTTCTACTCTCTCCCAGAGACTGCCAGAGGAGCAAGAGGAACAAGTTTCTATTTACTGGCACATTATTACAAGTAATTTTCTCATCCAGTTCTTAAACTGAGAGAGACATGAACTACTACGTGTCCAAGGGTACAAGGTGCAGGGATGGTAAAAAGGGCTCTCTATAGCCACAGTCTTCTACTGATGACCTCCGAGCAGGCATTCATCCTGCTCTCCTTAAAGTCATGGAATTTTCACTGTGTTGGCAAACTGGAGAACATTGGAAGGAGTATTATTTGACAAAAGAAAAAAAAAATTAACTTGGATACAGGGAAGCCATTTTCTGCAGCACAGGAAAAAAAAGATAACTTGACATTTATACTTTAATTAATTCATCTTCAGGTACCTTGGGGTTTGAACTTTCTGTTCTCAAAGTAGTCATACAACATTTATGATTCAGCAAATTCACAATCAAAGAAAAAGTTACGTAGTTGACTGTTGTCATGTGAATAGTTAACAGCTGTTTTGTTAATTCTTTGATAACTTAATAAGTAAGAAGTCCTTTTGCCACAGTTAATGCAAATGCTGAGATACAGCTGTATCCCCAATTCCATATCAGTTTCAGAGGTCTTATTGAATAGCCTTTTTTGTTTTCATTCCAACAAATCTTACTGAAAGCAAATGACATTTCAGCATTACACAATCATTTTTATTTGTTCAGTGTTGTTCCTATCCATCAGCCGATGAGTAGTGCATATTTATTAATATATAAATTATTTTTTCTGGATTATGAAGATTTTTTTTAATATTAAGTTGCCAATTATAAACACCCAGTTTAATATAGAATCTGTGCAAACATATACAACTTTAGCGCTGAAGTGTATTTTTAACATGCATATTTCTGCAGATATATTTAAAGAAGGAAGAAAGTTCACTACAATCTTCAGAGCTTTTGAATCTACAAAGTAATAGGTCTTGCTAATGAAGTCAGTAATAACTCTCATTTCCCTGTTCAAATAACAGATCTGGAAAAGCTTCAAAGCAGCTGTTACTGTCTACATGAACTATCCCATAACTATGTGTGAATCCTATTCTAGTCCTTAGTGAGCTCCTTTCCCTGTTCATTTCTTGGCAAACTTGGCTCAGTAATGACATGAAAACTAGTATGATGAGATGCACCACAATACAGGAGCTAACCTATGGTAGTGGAGGAGAGGATAATTATAATGCACAGAACTGAATCTCATTTAGTCAAATCGTTATTTTAAATGGTGAAAAGACTTCTATCAAGACATAACAGGAAATGAAGAAACCTTTCATTATGAATTATCTACACACACATTGTTTCTGAATGTTTACATATTTCTTATGCTCAATTAACCTTTTGGTTATATAACAAATCATACCGAAATCCAAATATACTACCTTCTAAGTAGTATATACTCTGCCTTCTCAAATACTCTGCCTTCTCAAATACTCTGCCTTCTCAAGTGCAGTGAGAAAATGAAAGCCCTCTGTATTTACACAAGGAGACAATTCTTGAGAAACCCACTTAAGTTGCTCACTGTACTCAAGGATGGATGGTGCTGAAGTTGACTCCAATCTGATGGGGACTGAAGCGATCAGGGTTACAGTTCTGCAATCTGCCATCGACTTCCTACATAACCATCAGTCATTCACTTGAAGTTTTAGTGCTTCAAGCAAATATGCACAGTAATATTTCTGTTTTCCTACCTTTTGTCTTATAATGAGCAATTTTTGGCTTTAACTTCCACTCCCAAGTTGAAGCCACAATCTCGGCTGGGTACTCTGGACACTACAGAAATACCAGCAAGTACATAGGCAAATAAACAATTTTAGTACATCTTAGAAGGAAATGCATAGCTGAGTTTACATAAGCAGTTTTTTGAAACCTGTGAAATCCACAACATAACCTTCCAATTCAAGGAAACTACCAGAAAAGTTGTAGATTTAACTAAAACCCTGTCTTTTTCTTTCAGGAGTATGATTGATGAGATAAACCGTACTGAACTGAATACAATTTCAGCAGGTGAAAATAGGCAATTTTTTCCTAAATACTCAAACTTATTCACTTTTTTTTTGTCACCTGCCCACAGCAAGCCTCTGGGATGCATGAAAATGATGGCCAGACTCAAATAATGGGTGAGAATCCTGAAACTTGTGTTAGGAGTCAGCAACACCTTGCAAACTCCTTCCTTACCAGGTGAGCTCCACTGCACAAGAGCTGGCACTCCTCTTCTAATGACTATGTCCTAAGACTGAAAATAAGACTTTGGCATTGTAACGCTGGTTCTAACACTGACTCTCATTGCCAGCTTTTCATCAGTTCCTTCAGTCATTCTACTCTAATTTCAATGCACTAAAGGACAAACAAACAACATTAACAATTGTGACTTTACTGTGGTCATTGGAGACTTTGGTAACTAATGACTGTGGGGGTGAGGGGAAGGCGGCATATGTGTGCCTATATGTACAAGGGAGAGATTCCAATTCATTAAATATAAGTCAGCATACTCAAAGACTCAGAGCTCAGCAACCTATAGATTCTCTGCTTCTTTGAAAAGTAGACTCTTTGCAAGGACTTTTTTAAAAATTAAAGAATTTAAAGATTAGATTTTTAAAGATCAGTCAATTATATAATCAGAATACGCAATTTTAGCACAGTCCCACAGATTCCACCTCTTTGATGCAAACCGCAGGTTTGAAGTTGCCCATCAAAAGTGACGTAACTAAACTTTCTTTAGATCCTAGGATTTAGTTGACACTTAGAAATGTAATAACACAGGCAGGAGCTCCTTTAACACTGAAGTGAATGACACATCTGTACTGATGTGCATACAAGGTCAGAATAAAAAGAAGCAGCACCAGGAAAAAGGTAACACCTGATGACTGGTTCAAGTGCATTCAAACTCAGCATCTGGCACAGCAGTTTTGCTGAGATTTTTCATTTGATTTAGAAACATCTGAAAATTCCAACAAATCAAAATAGATCATCTTTAATATCTTATTTACCATTAGTCAAAATTAAGAGCAGCCAAGCCTATCCTAGAATGCATGATTTTCTTAGAGGTCATTCTCTTCAAAGAACATTGAACAAAACAGACTTCCTAAGAAATCTCTGTAACGTCTCTTTAAATGAAAAGGAAAATTCAGCAAAGTACTAACTTGAACACAATTTTTTTTAAGAAAATAATTTTGCATAATTTTAGGAAACCCAAACATAAAATCAAAACAAAACATTCAATATGTTATTGTTATAAGTATTTGTTTTTCTTCTACTAGCAAATGATAGATGCCACTATACTTTCACTTTGGTGCAAATATGCTTAAGGAATACTTAACAGTAAGGAATTTATCAATGTATTTATTTTGTTAAGCTATTCTGTAAATTAAAACAAAAAGGCAAAACAGTGACTTCAAGGTTTCTGTTGCATTTTTTAAATTAAAAAAGCTATGAAAATGAAAATACGTATTTATTTCTATGAAAGAAATTTCCTTTCTTAATAAAGAGGAGTGACCTTCACACAGGTAAGCAAGAAAACATCTTTTTTAAAGTATAGTAAATGGATTTTTTCTTTACTGTTTAAGATAAGGAAGCATTTCAGCTTATATTTTCTCATCAACTGCACATTTTAAATGAAAAATGAATCTCTTCGTGAACATACTCTAGAGTATAACATTCAGTTACTTAGCAACTTGTAGCACACACAGAAAAGACCGAGTCAAAGATGTCACCCTGTTTAATATTTTCTCCCAATCCATATGAATATTGTGGGTATTTTTAAATTTTGCATTTCCCAAACAAGTAAGCTACCATGCAAGCTATAAACCTCATGAAAAACAATGTGATATAGGCAGCATTCTACTTAGCATGACAGTCATGGAGCCCTTCAAATGGCAAAGTGACTATTAGAATTAGGTATGCGCTTATCTCCCTGAAAACTTAAATTTCCTTCTTAAAATGTACCAACATATGATTTTTCCACATTTCAAGAAATTTTAGATTTTAAGCTCCAACACAGACAGTGCCGAAGAGGGCACATAATGAGACTATAGTAAGACAATGCAACTGGAAAGCACGTGTTACTTTGTAAGATACTGTTTAGCAGTCTGATCCATTCCAGGCGATCAAACCGATTTAAAAGAAATCAAGTACTGTTATGACCTCAGCCTGAGAAAATTCTTTCCTTTCTGTTAAAGTAAGTGCCTGATATAGATATAAAATGGATTTTAATGCTTTTTTTTTTTTAAGAAGAATTTATGAAATTCAGGTGATTCCTGAATGGTTTGTTCACCTATTGCAGCAAATGGATTTTTTTTTACATTTTGGAAAAACAATCTACTGGTATTTTTAATGTAGAGGCTTACAGGTACATGAACTTTTCTAAACATTTCAGCTCCTTTGCGTGCATCCAGTAAAGCCACATCTTGTGGAGTGGAGATGATCACAGCTCCTGGGAAAACATGAAATACCATTAGAATATGTATTATTAATTATACTGTTAAATATTCTGACTATTTAGTACATGCTACGAAATTCAAAGTAGTCACACATTTATATGCCTTTTTTTTTTTTTAATTTAAGGAAGAAAATTATGCTAGTTTTTTTATTATGCAATGACCAAAATCACTGAGATATGTTATGGAGTGATAGAAATAATTTAGATATTTTCATCATAAGTTTTTCTACGTAGAAACCATTTATATTTTCTAAATGAGAAAATTGATCTAGTTGTCATATGACCATGGATAGAAGACAACGTGGTCCACCTGCTGACAGGTTACAGAGGTAGTACTCTGGAAATATCTACACAGTAACTGTCCCATGTCATAATTAAATTTGAAAGCTTTTCATTTAACAATAAGCCTTGTCCTAAAATCAAGAGACAGCTGCCTGTAATCAGACTGTTGCTTTCTGAACCCGCTACACCTTCTGATACAAGCACTGACAGACACAATCTTGAAACTCGTTACACTAGACGCAACACCAGCGGATTTCTATGAGTCATACCACAAAATAAGAGGCCAACTCATGCACACTTGCACGAGGTTTGAAAAAAGTACAGTATTGCTCACTGTTCAGACATGGCTCCAGGTTACTGGATAATTAGTACTCCCAAGAGTTATTAGACATAAAACAGCTAGAGCTCTTTGTCAAAGGTTAGATTCTAAAGTAAGCCTACAGGTTACTATCCTATACTACCCTACATTACTTCTTGATTAATACAGCCTGCAAAAACAATATAGACATTACAATATTCCACATCACTTCACAAAGAGCATCTTTTCGTATTTGCTCAAGGGTTTCAAATATTACTTCAAAACTTGCATCAAGAATGTGCTCGTGCTCATCCCTATTTTAGAAAAATGCAATGTAAAAGAGGACATTACTGGTCAACTGAGTAGCTCTGGTTTCACAGTAACCATCCAGTCTCCAAAGCATCTGTTATAAAAACATCTCTGAAGACCCATGTTAAGCCAACCTCACACAAGAAATCTATGCCAAACTTCACACTAACAGCAATTACAACAGACAATTTCAGATGCATGGCACAGAGTTTCCTACTGGGCCTGCAGTTCCGAACCCTTGGCATACATGGGCAAAGGAAGAGGTGGGTACATTTCCAGAGGCACACAACACTGGCATCACTGGCACAGGCCAGTGCACCGGGAGCCTTGGGCATCCCGAGAGCACTGTTGGCTCTGGCAGCCCTGGGACAGGGAGCCCTGCCCCCCATGATGTCCCCACGCCACCCACCCGCCCACCGCCGGGTGGCATCCAGCCTGCATGACAACCAGCTGCTTCCAAACACCACCTGAATGTTTTCAACCAGTGTTCTTAACCTCTAATTTGTGGAAGAAAAATACAATCTGGAACCTCGCTCCTGAAAAGCTGCCAATCTCTGCCTTACGTAATATTAGACACAAGTCCAAAAACTGAACAGCATATGTAATGTACTGAGCAAATGCAATTTCCCTATTGTTTGCTGAAACTCTGGCATCCAAATAACTTGCTATTTTTCCTGAGCTGACTGGCTTCCAATGGCATAGTGAAAAATCAGGTAGGAGCCTTTCAGTTACATCCATGTCACCTTAGCTCTAGGGTTACACTTTACAGCTGACGTTGAAATGTAGGGTTAATTTCACAAAATGAATGCACCCTTCCCTAAAAGCACAGTCTGCAACTAAGTAATTTAGACCCAGCGTCCTCGAGTTTTCTGCGTATTTGTAAAATAAAGATCTTTCAATACTTGGACAAAATGCTTATTACTGCTTTCTTTTCAGACAGAATTGGAAATTTGTATCTTATATGTACACACACATGTTAGTTGCCTCACACTTTTGTTCACACTCTTCTCTGAAGATGCTGGCTCAGCATTCCACGGATCTTCACGTAGAAGCTAATACGCAGTCAACAAAACTGAAGTCTGTATTTTCTGGTCCATTATTAATTTCTTTAAGAATCTAATAATTGGCACAGCATGAAGGACAGAGGCTATGCACAATGAAAACACCCACTAGAACCACAAGCAGCTTATCAGAGAGATATTTTTGACTAACAAATTCTGTTGCTAGAGAACCTCACCCAAAGGGAAAAAGCTAAAACGCCAAAAAGACCCAGTGGCACACTGCAGAGTTTAGGCTGCTGCAGAAACCAACTCCCTGTACAAAAGCCTCTGGCTTCTGAAATACATGAGTTAAAATTATGCTCATGGACAACCTGCACGGCTTCTTCCACAGAAAGAAAGCCAACATGCTCAAGACGCTGCTGCCGAGGGTGTAACAGATGTGTGTCTCCTATTTTCCTTTTCTCTCTGAGCTGGATTACAGACAAAATTTATTCACAGTCAGCTTGCACTAAATTATACCAACGCCCTTTAAAATAACTATCTTTTCTCTTTCTTTGCTACAACTGCTAGTCCAGCAAACCCAACCTGAAGTTCAAGAATTCAAATTATTAGCAGCATTATTTCCTTCACCAGCAACTGAATATGGCAAATGAGACTTCGCACGGTGCTCCTCTCCCTGAATAAGTTTGCATATGTTTAATGCAGAAAGTGATTCAAATGATAAGCAAGAAAGAACACAGCCCACACTTCCTTTGCTATCTTGGCTCTACATGGTTAACAGGAATATCAAACAGTAAAGAGTTATTCTGATCAATAAAGTAATGAAACATGACTGAATTCATGCACACAGCACGTCTCTTGAAGCAATACGTGCAATGTTTACACAAGCCTCTGTCTGAGGCAAACTAATACTGACAAATTGAACGAGAAGTTGCAGAAACTATAATGCTATCACGTTGCACATTAAAATACACTGCAAAGTCTATATTTGCAGTTGTATGCTGAAGAACAATTTCTGTGCCTTGAGCATATTAAGGATATCCAAGTTAAGCACATTTAGGTTTAACTGACATATTCGTGCATTCCATTTATTTTTATAACTTCACCATATTTCAGTTGACAAAAAGCTGATGCATGTTGCATTAGTAAAAACTATGCTAACTGTATTTTTAATCCTTAGCGTGCATAATATATAAAGACAGAACTAACAGTAGCCAGTAACAGTGATGTTTGCCTTTCTTTTTTAACCCCAGGTACTTAATCCTCAGTAAAAGAAATGCGTGCCTACACAGCGCATTAGTACTCACCCTTCTGGTGGACCAGTGTTCAGGAAATTAAAAGCACTGAAATAGCCTGTAATTTCTGTATGTAGAAAATATCACCTATATTCACTGCATAATTAAGGTTTGCATTCGATGCTCTGGGTTACGAGGCATAAGGTGGAATGTCTCCAAGCCTTAGCTATAATCAATTTGTACCCAAGCAAAAAACCAGGCAGGTCTAAAAAGCAGCTGATAAGCAGCAGTTTAGAAGGCCTACCTTAGGATGAAAAGGATCTTTCTAACATTACTCTTTTTTTCCCTCCAGTGTCTTTAAAGGCAGACTTCAGAACCAGGCTACATGCATCTCATCCAGACTGTGTCTTATATCACCCTTATTCTTATTAACTTAGCAAATAATGCCACCCAAAACCTATGGAGTGAAGTGTAACTGACCAGAAAGACTGACAAATAGAGTTCTGGAGGATGAAGACACAGAAAGAAGTACTGCATTTTTCTAGTAATTCCATCTGCTGACTGCCAGGCATTGGATGCTCTTGCAAGGAACCACATTCAGACCTCAGTGCAGCTGTGGACGGCCTGATCTGACCACACCACTCATGCAGTTTTTGTAGCTTCTGCTACCTTTTCCACTGCATGAATTTCAAACTTTTAGGCGAGACTTGCGAGTTATAAATAGCCTGGTGAATCTGAACCTTCTCTACTGTGGATCTCTCAGAGTCCTTCTCACCTTCTGTTAAATTTCTTGTTACTTCACAGATAAAAGGTGCCTGCAATTAGAGATATGGTTTGCATTTGAAGATGCAGAGAACAAGGTCTTGCAAGAATGATGACTTTGTGTCTTTGCTAGAATTTCAGCTGGTGATGATTACGGACACATTAGCACTAAAAAAAAAGTCCATCTCCTTGGATAAACCTCGTAAAGAAGTTCCTTTAGGTTTTGTGTGACATCTCATTACAACTAGCAACTTAAAAGAATCACTAGCATGCTTTTCCCTTAAGGGACCATTACTTGAGACTCATAATAGAGCTCAGAACTGTCCCAAAGGCTGGATCCTGGCTGTGTCACACCTCCAGCCTGCTCGCTACCTTGGAGGAGTTTTTGAACAACTGCTCAAGCAATGTGCATTTCTAACAGCCACACATCCTCTTCTGCCCACGAACTAGCGGGTAATTAGAGACTGGGGCACTACCCCCTTGCCCACATGAAAAGAGAACATAAATCTTGGACCAAGGTTCTTCCTCCTTGCAAGAAGAACTGTCAGCGAAGCCACTGAGCAAAGGAACATCACAAGCTGGATAAAGCTGGCACCCTGAAGTTAAAATGCCCTCATCTAATTGATCGGTAAGTATTATAACACCCCCTTCATACTCGCTCACGTGGAGAAAGACGTGGGAAGACAACTCTCACTGTGTTAAAACGTTTGGTTTTGGTTGTAGCAAACAATACATGTGTGACACTAACGCAACTTATGAGGCAGTATTTGTTTAGCAAAGTGAAAACACTGAAAAGCTTTGTAATACCGTCTGTGAAGAAGCATTATTTGTGAAGTGTAGGCATAAAACAAAAAGCTACTCCCTCACAGACACTCTGCCACTTTCCACTTTTCCTTAGCTATCTGAATTGGCATTTTGCTGCTCTACTCCACTCCACCTCCTGCTTCCAAAAGCATTTGCCAATCATGTCCAGATTATATCGAGCATTGTACTAGGCAAGAGCAAAGTCCAAATAGTCTCTTTTGACAAATTAATATGTTGGCTTTTTTTAATGAGAGGTCCTAATCCAAAGAGGAGAACTAGGTAAAAGAGTGATTCCGCTCCACA